GCCGTGGCCCAGGCGGGTGGGGCTGGCCGCGTGGCGGCAGGAGCGCCCGCCTACGTGCCGGCCCAGCCTCCCGCGCCGGGGGCGCCTGGCGAGGGCGAGGACGACGGGCCGGGCCCGGCGGCGCTCCAGGGCCTCATGGGGGTCGGCCGCGACTTCCGGCCGCCAGCGCGGCCGACGGTGCAGCCGGTGACGGTCCACACTGTGCGCTGGGTGGCGGCTGAGAGCGTTGAGCTCCCTGGAGGCAGCGTGGGCCGAGGAGATGACGTGGCTTTCAACGGCTCGGAGATGGTGTCGGGCCGAAAGGGGGTTATCGTGCTGATGGGGGTATCCGTGCTGATGGAGGACATCGGCGACGCGGATGTGGAGGCCTACAGGTCGAAGGAGGCCCACCACGACGCGAGGTTGCTGAAGTTGCAGAGGGACTCCCGAGGCGACCGACATCGTCCCTGGCGTGACGTGGCCCGTGATGTGAGCGCAGTGAAGCAGACGGACTGGCCCGTGCCGGGCCCACAGACGGCAGAGTGGTGCACTAAGCTCCTCGACCGACGGAGTGAGGGGCCCGTGGGCTGGGATCGGCGCTGGCGGGCCGACAACAGGCTGTCCATGGACCAGTGGGGGGTGTCCGAGCACGAGACGCTGGCGAAGATCCTCGAGCGCTTGGGGACCCACGACCAGTGCGACGTGGTGAACCTAGCGGCGGCGGAGGACATCGTTCGGCGGATGCAGCTCATCGAGTACTTTTACTACGAGGTCCATCGGCAGTCGGACCCCAGCAAGCAGCAGGACAAGAAGGGCGGCAAGGGTGCGCGCCTTGAGGAGATGGCCGTCTTCTCGGGGAAGCATCGTGAGTACGGCGAGGTGATGGTGGCGCCCGAGCTGCTGACCTACGTCGCCTCCGAGCTGGAGCGGGACTCTGGCATCATGAAGCAGATGAGGAAAGCCCGCGAGGAACGGCGACTCGCGGGCAAGCATGACCAGTGAAGGGGGCCGCCGCGGGAGCCCCCGATCCCGCGGCGAGTATGCAGGGGGGCCGCTGGAGATGAGCCCCAGCGCGGCCGATGTACGTGGCTCACATGAGGGCAGGGTTGTCAACCGTGATCTGCTTCCTTTGCCTCACTACCGCCTGCCGAGCACGGGCAGCGACGATGGCGGCCAGCCAAAGTCTCGTCGGGGGCAACGCCGCCGAGGGGAGCGAGCCCATTGCGAAGACTGGGCTCGCTGCTGCGCGATCACGCTGAACGAGCTCGACCGCGGGTCTGCTGATCCGCAACCTCAGGGACAGCGGGCCAGTGCCGGGCAGGAGCGCAGCTTGGGGATGATCCAGGCGGCGGTAGCTGAGCTCGGACGGCCGCCCGCCGACCTGACTCGCCAGGGAGCCCTCGCGGAGCTCCTGGCCAAGCGCAGCTACACCGGCGAGAAGGTGTCTGTCGCACGGCTCGACATTTCTCTTTTGTCTCTGCCTGCTGGTGGGGACGGTCCTCGAGCGCTGACTACTTTGCTCGGGGGTGAGGGTCCAATGGTAGTCGATGCCTTTTTAAAAGACAAAGTTTTGCCTCCATCGGAGGCGGCGGCGCGGGTGGCCGAGTCGGCCTTGAAGCGCCCATACTACGATCCTTCGCTGCAGGGGAGGCCGCGCCGGCATGCGCGACTCCTTGCGGCCCTCGACGGCGCAGGCATGCTCGAGTGGAGGCGGCATGGATCGCCCCGGGTAGGCCTGTTTACTGTTTGGAAAAAGAACGGCAAGCAAAGATTGATTGTCGACGCGCGTTTATCCAACTTGTGTTTCGCCTCTCCTGATCCGGTCGACCTGGCCACTGGCGGATCGTTTGCGCCCCTCGAGGTTGACCCGGGGCCCCCAGTGTGCCTCGCCCAGGTCGACATCCAGGATGCCTTTTACCACCTCCTCCTCCCTCCTGAGCTCGTCCCCTTATTCTGTCTCCGCCCTGTCACGGCCGGACTCGCTGGAATCTCTGAGCTCGACGGCGCCGCTGCCTCTCCGACCCAGCTCGTGTACCCACACCTGCGTGTTGTGCCGATGGGTTGGAACCATGCTTTGTGGTGGTGCCAGCGAATTCACGAATTTCATGCCTTTCGGCAGCCCGGCGTGTCCCTTTCAAACAAGCTCTCGGATAAGAAGCCCGGGGTGCGTCTGGGCCGCTCGGGGTTTGCTCACACGGAATACGTGGACAACTTCGCGGCCATCGGGCGTCAGGCCAGTGAGGTCGATGCCGTGGCCGATTCCGTTCTAGACGCCCTGACCACCGCGGGGCTCTGCATGCATCCTCGTGAGAGCTCGGTTGGCGGGTCCGTTTTGGGTTGGGAGTTTAGTGACGAGTGCCCTCAGGTTCGTGTGAGCCCTCGCCGAGTGTGGAGGCTCCGTCTCGGCATAGAAGGGGTCCTAGAGAGGGGCTTCGCTACTGGTAGGGACCTCGAGGCCATCATTGGACATTTCACGTTTGCCGCTCGGATTCGGCCTGAGGCCCTGTGTGTGTTCTCCGCCGCGTATGCCTTCAGTCAGCGGGGGGCCGACACTCGCCGTAGGTTGTGGGCTGCCGTGCGGAGGGAGCTTCGTTGGGCAGTAGGTCTCCTCCCACTCCTCCGTCGTCGCCTCGATGCCGATTGGAGCTCGAAGGTGCGGTGTACAGACGCCTCCCCCTGGGGTCGGGGGGTTTGCTTGGCTGAGCGTGACACTCAGTCCATCGCGGAGGCTGGCCGGTGGTCGGACCGGTGGCGCTTCTCGCGGGGGGCCGAGGATCGCGTTCGGCCGAGAGACGCCTCGCTCCGGGAGGAGCTGAACTTAGCCGCGGCGGCCGGTCTGGACGACCTGGATCGTGTCGGGACGGCTCGGCACCTGGAAGCCCTCGGCGAGGCGGATCGGAGTGGGGCTGTCCCGGAGATCGGGCCCGAAATCCTTGAGGGATCCTGGGCCACCGTTTCGGCCGGCCGCTGGATGCGGCGGGAGGCGATGCCCATCTTGGAAGGGCGCGCTCTGGTCTGGGGGGTCCGACATGCGAGCCGGGGTTTAAGCGAGTTTGGCAAGCGGATTTTGTTTCTGACCGACGGGATGTCCGAGGTCCTGGCCCTTGAGAAGGGCCGATCGTCGAGCGTGGCCTTAATGAGAGTGTGCAGGCAGTGGGCGGCGACGGTGTTTGCGGCCGATTTGTATCCTCGAGTTCGGTGGATTCGGTCTGAGTTGAATGTGGCCGACGAGCCTTCGCGTCGCTATCAGCCGAAGCCATTTGGGCTCAAACCTGGGCACTTTCGGCCTCCACCAGGTTTGTCCGAGCCGGATGACGACCGGCCTCCCGCGACCACTCGCAGGTGCTTTGACCCTGCCGTCTTCGGGGGATGCGGTTCTGGCGACCGGCAGCCTGGTGAGGCCAGGCGGGGCTGCGAAGCGGCGACCTGTGCAGGGCGAGCCGCTCACCCTGTCGCGAGCAGCGGCACTGTCCCAGGCTGGTCCGCGGCCGCGGCCGACCCAGAGGCAAGCCCGGGCGAAGGCATCGGCGAGACCCGCCAAGCCTCGGCCCGAGGTGCTGGCCACGAGGGGGGAGCGTGACGCTGTCCGGCAAGCGAAGTTCCCCGAGGACAAGCGCGCGACAGACGGCGAGGGCCTCTCGCTGCTCGAGAGGGAGAGCGTGGGCGACCACAACCAGCGGGTCTACCAGTCGGTGCTCGTGGAGTTCAGGGGGTTCTCCAAGACCCTGGGCCTGCGCCTCAAGGCCGCTCAGGACTACGACGGCGGCGACGCCCAGGAGGGGACAAGGCTCAAGGCGGTGCTGCTGTACTACTACCCGCGGCTCCTGTCCGTCGCCGGACTGCCCCGGTTCAGCCGAGCGCTGAAGGGGTGGAGGCGACTGGTGCCGCCTCGGAGCCGGCAGCCGCTGCCATGGGAGGTCGCCTGCGCGGTGGCAAACAAGCTCGTGGCGAACCAGGACCTGCACGCTGCCCGCCTCATCATCGTGATGTTCGTGTTCTACCTGCGTCCCGTGGAGCTGATGTCGCTGACCGGGCGGCAAGTGGTGCCGCCGGTGCGGGCGGCGGGCCACGATGCGCGGTCGCTCGTGCTGTTCCCCATGGAGGAGGAGACGCCCAGCAAGACCGGCGCCTTCAACGAGAGCGTGCTGGGCGACCTGCCGTTCTACCGCTTCATCGGCGACGTGCTGAAGCTGCTCAAGGCCGGCGTCGACGACAAGGGTCTCGTGGCCCAGGTGCGGTACGTGCAGCTGGCACAGGCGTTCCGCACGGCGGGCCAGCAGCTGGGCCTCGAGGGCCCACCAGGCCTGTACCAGCTGCGACACGGCGGAGCGTCCGCCGACCTGGCCAGCGGCCGTCGCGGCATCGCGGAGGTGAAGGCCCGCGGCCGCTGGGCCAGCGACAGCTCGGAGACGAGGTACGGCAAGGGAGGCCGCATCGCCGACCAGCTGGCCAAGCTGCCGCAGCCGTTCCTCGACCACGCCATCGCCTGCGCCAAGAAGATTGGCGACATCCTCTGCGAGCGCTGCCGGCCTTTGCCGCCCGTGCGGGCGGGGCCGTAGCGCTCGAGGTGTTCAGCGGCTCCGGCAATCTCAGCCGAGCCTGGCGACGTCGCCAGCATGTTTTGGGCTATGCCATTTTTGAGTGGGACATCCGCTGGGGAGATGAGTATGACCTCACTCGCCAGCGGGTGCAGCGCCTGGTGCGAGGATGGGTCAACAACGGGCTGATTGCTGCCATCTGGCTGGGCACCCCTTGCCACAGCTGGAGCCGTGCACGGGACATCCGACCAGGGCCCCCGCCCTTGCGGAGTGACCTGCACGTGATGGGGTTGCCCGACCTAGCGCCTCGTGACGCTGAAAAGGTCAGAGTCGGCAACGCCCTGATGAAGTTCTCAGCCTCGCTGTTTATGCTGTGCCAAGCCGTGCGCGTGCCGGTAGCGATCGAGAATCCTCACATGTCTAGAATTTGGCTGACGCCTCAATTCATAAGATTGCAAAGAAAATGTCGCTCTGTCGTGTTGG